ATGTCTATATCCATCATACGTCTTCTCTATTCAGAATGAGATGACATTGATTGATTAAGAGGAGACATTAACATCAAATTCTTGTCCTCATACCATTTTTTTCTTTTTTATCTTTTAAAGTTTTTATTTATCAATGAAATATTTTTTTATTTTTCAAATAAGTTTTTTTGAAGTGTTGTAGATTATACTTTAATTAAAATAGTTATAGAAAGTAAAAATAATAATAATATTTTAAACATTGATGAATAAAATAAATAGAATAAAAATATTTTAAAATGTTGACTTTTACAAAGAAACATGAAAAAAAATTTAGAGATGAAGTAATGAGTCATATTGGATGTAAAAAAAAGGAATTTTTCATTTGAATAGCACATTTTGCTTTTTCCCTCTCAGATTCTATATATTTACGTAATAGTATTATTCTTGTTTTCAATATTATAATTAATCATGTATGCTAATACGTCCAGATAGGTTTGATAACTATGAATCTAGATACGAATATAATATTTTAACATTATATAAGATAAATATGAGATAAAAAAATATATGGTTTACAATAGAAACGGAATCTATTAACATTTATCCTTATATAATATGTTTATTCGGTCTAATAGACATCTTAAAGAATTTTGAATGAAACAGTTTAAACTTATATTACACAATATTAATAAATATATTAGTTATTATTTATCTTTTGTTATATTTTATTAGATTCATATTACTTTCTTGGATAAGTATTATTTTAATAGAGATATAGACTCATAACTCATGTTGATTATATAAATATAACAATAATAATATAAAGATAGAGAGTAGAACGCTTCATACTAAATAGTTATTCTCATATAATAGATTCTAAATTTCTTACTAACTTGACCATCAAAAAATCTTTACAGGTGGATCTTCCACTTTCATCAACGAGAAAGACCTATTCAACAGAAGGGATGATTAAAATTTCTTTATATTGATATCTCAATGTTTCTTTTTAACAAATATTTATAGAATGTGCCTTAATAATTTCTTTTTTAAGTCATGTATAACCTTGAAAAATTAAGTATAAGTGGTCAATAAATTTAATATTAATTTATTATTGAGGTAATGAATTTTAAATCCAATTCAACCTTGCAAAATTAAGCAATTTAAGTTTTGTTTCCACTTATATATTCTAAATTTGTCTTATCTCTCTGGTTAATGTAAAATCTTCAATGTTTCGGATGTGTAGGGCTGTGCTGTTCCAAACCTCCAAATTCTCCTGCACTCTTGTCTCAGCGGCGGATCTTCCTCTCCAATCCTAACTCTCCTTTCAATCCTGAGGGGCGGAGACCTGCAAAAGACTCTCCGATGCCAAAGTCAGTTTCAGAGCAATGGCTTTTCTCAGGGATAGCAATAAATGTGCATTCAATGTAACCTACCTACCATTCACCATGGACTTGTATTTATAGTTTTTACTATGGGCTTGGGATTAGTGAAAAGTTAATCACGGCCCAAAATAGCCCAATAGCTTCTAATTTCTACTTACCTCTAAATCAGATTAATTTACCTGGACCATAATGATTAGTGATTTGGCCGGTCCACGAGGTATGGGCGTCCGCCCACTTGATATGGGCGTCCGCCTTGCGGACGACGAGGCATGGGCGTCCGCCCACGTGGTATGGGCGTCCGCCTTACTCTATTCGATCCTTCATATTTGTTCAAGAGGCGACCTTCCGAGCCTCCATGTCGGGGAAGGCGGGCAGTCACTGACCCTTTGGATGACTCGGGGTATTAAAAGGGGCGGACGTCCGCCCTTCGAAGTCGGGTGTCCTTCCGTACGACGCCCGGCACTCCTTGGTGCATAAGCCTTCTAAGTCATTTCCAGACGTTTCGTCTCTCAGTATCTTCATGGGCGACCTTCCGTACGGCGTCCGGGACCTCCTAGTACACGTTGTGAGCATGGAGAGTGCGGCGTGTGGTATGGGCGTCCGCCCACGCGAGTTCTCGGATGTTTCTATTACAGAGGTTCTACCCAGTTGGGAGAATTCATTTCGCTGTGCGGCGCCCGGTACTTCGCCAGTATAGGAGAGTTTATGCGGGGTCTAGGTTCGATCCTCGGCATTTATCCAGTTGGGCGGACGGCCTTTTCCGCTGACCTGGCGTTCTTCCGTACGGCGCCCGGTGCTCCCTGGTACACATTACTTTCAACTTCTTCCGGGTACATTTACTTTTTATACATTAATTTTTCAATCCTTTGTCAGTTTCTTATTCATCATGTTCAATTCTTAAACTTATTTTATTTATTGTGATTAAACACATTTTATTTATTTTCATTTAAATGGACATTTGAATCTGTACTATGTAAGACCCGTATTTTTAGGAGTGGTGGGGACACGGTGGTCACCCACCTCTTGCATTATTAGAATGCAATTATTTGGAAGGGGGAAGAGGGAAGGATCTCATTTGGGCGTCAGGGGAGATGCATCTCACCCGTGAGCACCTCTTGGACAAGGTTGCTCCTGGACCGTGAAGGTGGCTTCTCCTTTTGATGGACCAGCTACGTCTTTAAGGTGTTGGACCGTTTCCTCCAAGTGCTACTGGTGCTGTTGCCGCTGTCCATCCAGCCAGGCAGTGACACCTCTTGCATGCTGCTACTGCTGTCCGTGAAACCAAATCAGGTTGTGTGTTCTCTTCATTTTTGCAGCTCTCAAGCTTGCTAAATCCGTGAGTCAACTTCATTCTCAAGTAATTTGGTGCAGCATTTGAAAAAGGAAATCAACCTGTGACAAGAAGTGCACCGTTCCAGCTCCAAAACAATTCATGCGTGTTCTTTGGAATAAAGGAAGCAACGTCCTCTTCCTTCAGATGTCCCATGTGCACTTTCTTCAATTAATTTCTTGGACATGAGGAATAAAGTCGTGAGTGGTGTGTGTTTCTTCTAAACCAATTCTGAAATGAGTGATAAAGTGGGCCATAATGCTTTCTCCCAACAAATTAGTCACCTTATATTATATAACTGGTGGCTCCCATCTTTATTCTAGCAATTTTGGTCATGCAAAAGTGTAGGGCCGTGTGCTATTTGCACTTCAACAAATTCAACATTTGCTTTTAGGAGTCCTCCACGTGAGCTTTCAACCAATTGGTGGCCCCCTCATTCCATCAAGCACGGTTTGCATACTCCAAAAAGAATTTTCCTATTTAATTCCAAAGATTGCTTGCTGCAGAAAGGAATGGCCATGGGTCGTGTGGCTGATAATCTAAAGCATAGAAGAGAGTCATGTGGGAGAGCAGCCAGAGGAAGGGCACCCTTCCTTCCATTTTCAACCATTCAAAGAACACCCAAGGGAAGTAGTACCAACTTCAGAAGTGCAGAGAGGATGTTTTGGGTTGGACATCTTGTGAGAGTGAAGCTGTTGCAGCAAGGAAGTGAAGAACTGTTGAGGTTGCAAGGAGATCTTGATCTGACGTCTGGGAGGAGATAGATCCCAAAATTTTACTAAGGAAGTCTTCAAGAGGTAAGGGGAGTTTGATTTATTTCCTTAATTTTTGAGATATTAGGTGTTTGCTACAAATCTGGGTAAAATCTGGGAAGAAGGGGTTGAATTTGGGGTTTCTGGAAATCTGACGCGATTCTGCAAAATTCTGCAGAATGCGCGTTCGTCCAATTTTGGTGAGTCAAAAATTGGACGTTCGTCCAAATTGCTCGGGGGTCTTCATGAGCGGTCGGTTCTGAACGAACGTCCGCGTTCGTTCGTCATAATTTATGGGACGCTCGTTAAAATTGTATTTAAACAGTGAATTAATGAGCGTTCGTCCTAACTTAGTATTTTCGTGGGACGTTCTTGAACGTTCGGCCTTGGTCTCAAGACGAACGTCCATAGGTGGTAAAGAACGTTCGGTTGTACTATGGATTAACGGACGTTCAATTTTGATGATATTTATTGTAAGTTAGCGATCGTTCATAGCGAACGTTCGGCTCAGATGACGTTTGTATTCGGATAGTACTCGCCATAGACAGCGTTCGTTCTTTAAGGATGTTTGATCCTTAAGCACTCGTCCAAACAGTGATGAATTCAGTATGCTATCCAATGGTTTAGGGTTCGGCCTTGGTTTAATTGTGCGTTCGGCCTTGGTGTGGTTGATACGACTGTCGCGGTCATACAAATTTTATGTGCACGAAAATTTATGCAGTATAACTAGGAAGTGACTCCTAGGTCGTCTCACAAGGACCAACTTGGGTTCAGTCTCAGATCAACAAGTAATGGGGGGTTTTGTGGATGTTTGGTGCGGTAAAATTAAAATTGGACAGGAATTTAAATAAGACAACTGAATTTAAAAAAACTAAAATAAATTTTAACAACGGTAAAAACAATTGGTAAAAAACGGTAAAAAAATGAAAACGAATGGTAAAATTCAACACATAAAATAAAAACATTTAACTGAAAATGGAATTCATCAAACACTTAAATAAAAATTCTTGAACAATACAATTAAAAATGAACGAGCAAAGGTGACACAGCTTCAGAAATTAAAACTACATTTTGGCACTGTTTGAAATGGAAATTCAGAACCTCTGGAAGAGAGGAACCGAGAGTTGCTTCCTAACTATCCTAAATCCTACTCCTAAAATCTAATCCTAAAAACTAATGAGCTTCTCCTCTGCTGCTTGCTGCCTTATATTGACAAAACTCAGAAACATCCTCCTTAAATTCAGGATTTTGGGTTTTGTTTCTTCCTGACTTTCTTAGCCAAATTTTCACCAAATCCTTGGACGTTCCAAAACTGAGCAAATAGGTGGGGTCCTCACTTGTCTTCTTCTTCATTGCTCACGGCTGTAGCTTCTCCAAGTTGCTCCCGTGAGCTTGTGCTAGAACAATTTCTTAGTGGTGGATGGACCCTATATTTCAGCATGTAACAGTTTACACTTTGGAGCTCTTTGGACGTTAGCTTTCAACCAAGTGGTGGCTGGACTGTGATCTTCTTTCCATGTGCTGGACCGTGATGAAGCTGGATGGGAATGGATGAGCTTGCTTGTGGGTCTCGTTGCTGCAGCAGGAACGTGATAGGCAGCCGTGAGCTCCCTTCAATTCTTCTCAAAGTCAGCCTTCTTCTCTACTTCCAGCAGCCACCGTGAGCACTTCCTTAGTAAGCCTTGCTTGTCTCCTTTGGAATAAAAGAGGTACCGTCCAGCTCACTCCCAAGAGAGCCGTGAGTTCATTTTAATGTGTTCCCCCTCCATTAGTTCAATTTACAAAGCTAGAAAGAAGATCCTTGGCTGGTTGCTTAAGGCCGTGTGGTTTTCATGAGGAATCAAAATCTTAGCATTTTGGAACTCTCCCATGGACGTGATTCTTCAAAGTGGTGGCCCCTTAATGCTTGACAAATGAATTGAAAACAAAACCGTGAGCTCCACATGTGGCCCCTTTGCCAAAAATAATTTTCCAAGCTTTGTGTTTTGTCATGAACTTTCCAACATGGTGGCTCCCAATTTGCTAAATGCTTGCAAGGCCATGTAACTTCTTCCTTCAAAACCGTGAATTCATTTCCAATGTGGCCACTTCTTTCCTGTTAATTGTTGGATGGCAAACATCGTGGTCCCCTTCATTTCCATCCATCTTCATCATATGCGTACACACTTCATTCTCCAAGCCAAAAAGAATTCTCCAAAGGTGGCTCCCACTTTCCATTTGTTTCCAAAGCATGTGATGTTTGCTGAAATACTTCTCCATGGCCGTGGATTTTATTATGTGCTACTTCCAATTACATAATGTAAAGCCAACAAAATGGGTAGTGTATGACCGTGAATGCTTAAGACTTATGGCAGCCACTTTCTTCAAAAGCCGTGAGTTGCAACATGGTTTCCAAACCAACCAATATTACTTCTTGAAATGAGCTACAAAATGTGCCAATATGAGTGTTGAATCCTTGAGTGTTGGGAGGTCTTAGCACCGTCCAATGATCAATTCCAGCTACCACAAGTATCAAACAACAAGCAAACAATGCAAACAATTTATAAGTCACTCAAACAGTAAACACAAGACTGACATAGAGGAGTAAAAAAAATACTGGGAACAACACAAAACGAATTTGAACAAAATAAAAACTATACGTGAAAATAGACATCCAGACGAAACTATGAAAAAAAATTGCATGGAAAACGGATAAGAATTGATCTCGAACGAAGACACACAAGTTGACACAACATTCACGCAACACTGTGCGAAAATTGAAATGGCTGAGATGCATTGGGCTCAATTGCCATTTCTCTTTTAACCTTCAAAATGTTCCAAATTGTATTTCCAAAATTTTCCTTGCAATTACTAATGCAAATAATTAGCTCAGATAATTCAAATTAAGTAAAATAAGAATTTCTGATCAAATTAAGCACAATCAGTAAAAACGAGAAAATACTGGACAATTAAGCACAATTCCCTGATTAATTTTAGTACAATAAACTAAGTGAAGTGGAGAAAATAATGATTCATCAGTGGTTGTAATGTGAGCGTTCGGCCTTGGTGTGGTTGTGATGTGAGCGTTCGTCCTTGGTATGGTCGTGAGTGAGCGTTCGGCTTATGCTTGGTTTTTAACGTTCGGTTTGGTGATTAGCAAATAACGTTCGTTCATGAACGATCGTTTAACAGCGTTCGTTCATTAACGTGGGTGATTTGAAAATAGTGTTTGATGAATAGTTCTCGTCTAAATGGCGTTCGGAGAATATGTATGAATCCGTAATTCTTCCGGTGGTATTTTAACACAATTATTGAGAATTGTTGATTATTTTCCTCGATCTAAAATTGATTAATTTATACATATTATTGAGAATATGTATGAATTTGTGATTGAGTACGTTTATTCTGGTGGAGGTGGTACATACACTATGTTATTTACTTGTAACTTCGTCTGTCTTTTTTTAGCATTTTTGCTAGTCTTGCGTGAGACGGAGATTCGAGTGTCACCTTCTTCTGCGCGAGGAGGTGAATGTCTCGCCCAATGACTTCGGCTCGTGTTGAGTGCATCGTTACGCGTAGTATCGATGTTTTTACTCGTTAGTCCTTGAGGAGTCGGGGAGATAGGTCTGAAGTCGCGATGGAAGACGGCTCGGGTCGCCTGTTATTGAGAGCAGGTTATGACGACGAATTACAAGTAAACGACATCAGTTTATGAAAGACTAGTCTGCAGCGTCATGTGAGTCGATTTATCGTGGAAATTGTTATAGTAAGTGTTTCGACTGGATCGGTGGGGACCCTGTAAAAACACACCAACTTACTGTCGAAGACGAACGGGCGGGCGGCGAAGATACATGGACCGGGCGGACACTGCTGAATCCTACGAACCGGAGCTAGCTACACTGACGGGCGGCACCAAGATGGACGATCGCTGTTCCACGCTCCAAACCGGGCGGACGTCCTCCAATCCAGACGCTCTCTCTGTGCTCCAAGCCGGGCGGACGTCCTCCAATCCGGACGCTCGCTCTGTACTCCAAGCCGGGCGGACGTCCTCCACTCCTGGCGGATGGTCCTTCGTTCTCTGCTCCAAGCTGGACGGGCGTCCTTCCGCACTTAGCGCTGCTCCACACTCCCAGTTGGGGAGGGGCCGGGTACCTGCTAAAGGCACTCCGACGCTCAAGTCAGTAATATGACAGAGCGATTGTGATGCGTGTATGCATCGTTATCCAGTTGGTCCAGAGTTCATACCTGAGACCTTTATTTATAGTGAGTTGTAATGGGCTTTTACCTTTTGGGGGCCTGGGAACGGCCCAATAATACCTTAATCTTCATTAAGGACTTTAATGTGTCATTAGCATTTAAACGTGTAATCAGCAAAGTGCGTCGGTTGGGAATGATGGTCGGTCAGGGATGTTACCCTAGGTGGGCGTCCAGCTCTTGGGCGGACGTCAAATCCTTGGGCGGACGTCCAATCCTTTGGGCGGACGTCCAGCTCTTGGGCGGACGTCCAATCCTTGAGCGGACGTCCAATCCTTGGGCGAATGCCCAATCCTTGGCGAACGTCCTGCTCTTGGGCGAACGTCTCATTTTGGGCGGACGTCCAGCTCTTGGGCGAACGTCCACTCCTTGGGCGGACGTCCAATCCTTTGGGCGGACGTCCAGCTCTTGGGCGGACGTCCAATCCTTGAGCGGACGTCCAATCCTTGGGCGAATGCCCAATCCTTGGCGAACGTCCTGCTCTTGGGCGAACGTCTCATTT